GGCGAGTGGTGAGATCAGACAAAACACAGATGACATTAACAATGATGTCCGGAACAATGGTCAATGTCCTTCTAAAGGAAACAAAGGTAGCGTGCCTGAAGTGGGGATGAAGTTTACAAGCATTGAAGAAATTCGAGAACACTATCTGGCTTATGCTCGAAGTGTAGGATTTCCAATGCGGACTAGGACAACTCGCAAAGCCAAAGATGGAACTCCTAGAAGTGTTACATTTGTGTGTAGTCGACAAGGAAATAAAAAGAGCAAAACACAAGATGTGTTCCACCCTTTTTGCTTTTTGCTTTTTGTGTGAAGTATGTAACAAGTATGATAACTTTCTCTGAGTTCCCTGCACATAAACTAATGTAAACCTGATGTAACTCTGTCTTCACATACATTAAGTCTCTGTGAAGTCTGTGACATAGACAGTTATTCCTTGTGAGCACCAAGAAATCTAATGTATGCGTTTTAACTTTGTTTTTAGCTATACAAGACCCCTAGATATGTGATGAGATTCTGAAGATGGTGTATGTGCATAACGTTAAGTAACTCTGTCGTCACATACATTAAAACTCTGTGTAATGGGTAAAATAGACAGTTAATCTCTGGGAGGGATCTGAAAGCAAATCTGTAATTCAATCATAAATTAAGGTAAATCATTCATCACACACAGTAACAGATTGTGCATTATCAAGTAGAAATTCATGATGATAAAAGCCCCATTACAAAAAAATCAAAAAAATATGAAGTGCATAACATTATGTAACTCGGTCACATACGTTGAAGCTCTGTGTAACAGGTAAAATAGACAGTTATTCTCTGTGAGGGCTCTGAAAGTAAATTTGTAATTCAGTCATAAACTAAGGTAAATCATTCATAACACACAGTAACAGATTGTTCATTAACAATTAGAAATTCATGATGCTAAAAGCCCCATTACAAAGCTTTCAAAAAAATCTAAAGTGTTTCCCAAAAAAATACATTACAAAACACAAAAACCATTACAAAGAGTTTCACAAAAATTAAAGATCCCTAAAATTGTAAATTAAATATTGGTTGTTTTCCTTCCACGCCATAACCTAGCTGCAAATTGATATCAGAAATCAACCATGTGTTTAGAACTGCAGTCCGGACTTAATGGTAAGCCAAACAACAAAGACTCTAGAAATGCTAGCACCATCACTCCAGAATTGCCATACCTGCAAGGGAAAATAATATTAAAATAAGTAGGGAGGTATGATTTTCACCACCATTGGAGTACCATAACGAAGTAATGGCGAACAAACCTAGAGTCCTGTCATTCTCCAAAGTGTTTGCACCCACACCCTTAACCGTGCGAAGTAGGGGGTATTCTTCTTACTACTTGAACGTAAAATGAGAATTTCAGCCCTTTCAAGGAGTCATGAGATACAATTCACAGTAAGCAATCAAAAATAACAAGCAGACGTCTTCTTTCACAGACAATAATGTTATATGAAGTTCAAATAACAGAACTTAAC